ACTTACTATGCTCCTGTCTCTTATACACATCTAGAGAGAGAGAGAGAGAGAGAGAGAGAGAGAAGAAAGTGAGGAGGTAGGGAAAAGAGAGAGAACCCTTTGGAACCAGATAGCCCCTCGAACTACAGAGCTCAAGCTGCACAGTACGAACAGGCAGTTTGAACTGCAGTACGGAGAGCTACTGCGGAAGACTGTTGAGCAACGAGCAGCTAAAAATAGAATCCCAACAGACTATGGTAGAACGAGAGAATGAAATGAACATAGTCAAATAGCTACGTTCCACGTTGACTGCCGATCTAGCAGCTCGGACTAAGAGCCTCGCTCCAGTACTCACCACATGCACAAAAGACAAAATAAAATAATGGCAGTGTATCTTTCCATGTTCTTGCGGAGTACATTCATTCTCATGTTGCACAATTGGTGAGTCGTGCCGCGAGGCCCTAACTCGTTCGAGAGTTTACACAAACGAGAACAAACATCTCACAGATGCTGACGTGAAAATGCTACGGACCCGGGACACGCTCATACATCGTAGTAGACGAGCCAGACCGTCCTACCTAATTCGAGATTGATGTTCACCCTCAACTCCCTACTTTCCCGGGTTTTCATGCATGATGCATCCAAACTGGGTTACCTCACAAAGCGAGCACCAAAGCGATCAGTTAACCTCCCGAAGACCAAGATGCCACAGCCTTCCATCGAAAAGCTTTCTGGACCCCATATATTCAAAATGGGCCCTCCCGAAGGTCGGCGCTTCTACACCACGTGCACGTCCATGGGCCCTCCCGAAGGTGAATGGGCCCTCCCGAAGGTGAATGGGCCCTCCTGAAGGTAAATGGGTCCGAAGATCAGTTTCGCTCCCGATGAGGCCCACCTGAAGGTCAATGTCCCGTGGACCGGGTGCATGTAAGTGTAGGCATGGACCAGGTGCATAGAGGATCGGTACATGCAAGCAGAAGACAACCACCAAACCCACAGATGCAGTTGCAGAGTGCGGATCAGGACCAGGTGCATCTGCACCTAAGCCAAGAGGACAATTTACAATGAAGTCTGCTCCCCAAGCAGTCTCAGGGCATACTCACACTAGGGAATTTTTAATTTTGTTGATAAAATTAGCACTATATATTTGGTAAAAGAAAGTATTAAAAAATAATAATATAAAAAAAATAGAAAGGGTGCACAGGAAAGGGAGATTTCGTTCTTGGCACAACCCATTTGTTTAAGCTCCAGAAAATACCTGATTTCTTTTTTCTTATTTTTATGAATTTTGAATGCGGTAGTACCGCATTCAAAATTCCATTAACAAAAAAAAAAAAAAAGGCAATATCCCACGCACGCGTTGTACAGTCAGTCAGTCAGTCATCAATGAGCTGCAAAGAAAGGAAAGTGTTTTAAATTTTAATGATCTGCAGGATCATAGCAACTATCTCATCTCATATAATACAAGGGGAAACACCTACGCGGGAGTCACAAAAAGAAAAGGAGTTATAACTTATAATTGCACTATGGGCCAAGATACAGTTTCGAATTGGCCCATAGCGCAATTATAACCCATTCTTGTGACCCTACTGAAGTTACCCCATAATACAATTAAATTTTGTAGACCCTCTCTCTCTCCCTCTCTGCATCTCCCTCTCTCTCTCTCTCTCTCTCTCTCTCTCTCTCTCTCTCTCTCTCTCTCTCTCTTTCAGGACTCTGTCTCTCTCTCTCCACCCCCCGCCCCCCCTTTCTTCCCCACCCCCAAACTTGAGAGAGAAGCTTCTTTTTTTTTTTTTTTATAAGAAAAAGAAAAAGTAGAGGAGTAGTTTTGAAGGGTTTTCTGTCCCTATGTTTGGGCTGACCTTCAAGCAGTCCTCCCATCTTGCTGCGCCTAGTCCATTCAAAATAGTGTGCATTTCTTTTCTGAAGCTCCCGGCTACTTCAATGATGTCGTCAACGCTGCCGCCTCGGTCTATACATGCACGCACCCTCCTTTTTCGTTCGCCGCTGGGGAGATAGCTTCCTTCTTGTTGCCCTTCTGCACCACCACACATCTCTCCTTTCCCCCCCTCCTTTGCCCCTTCCAGCTCCTGGCGGGTTTGGGTTTTCCTCGTCCCATAGTCATTAAGGAACGGTGGGGGAAGAGGAGGAGGAGGAGCATCATTTCTTCCCCCAAAACAGTTGTTGTCGTTGCTATCACCCACCTGTCTGTCCATCCATCCATCCAATTGCATTGGAAAAGAAGATTAAAAAAGGGGTGCAGATGCACCTGGTCCTGATGGGTAAGCTCAAACATTGCAGGGGGAGGGGGGGGGAGATGGAGGGGGGAGGGAGGGGGGGGAGCGCAGGGAAAAGGCAGATGAACACACACAGAGGGTACCGATGCATCAGCAAAAGATTGGGGAAACAAAGGCTATAGAAAATCTGAAAATAATAGCAAAAAATTACTAAAAATCATTAAAAAATGGCAAATTGTTAACCAAAAA